AGAAGAAGAAGAAGAAGAAGAAGAAGAAGAAGAAGAAGAAGAAGAAGAAGAAGAAGAAGAAGAAGAAGCAGCTCTTGGTGCTAAAAATCACTAGAGCGTTGCAGTATATGGAATTAATTTGTGTACAAATTTTGTGTGTGTGTGTATATACAGTATATACATATATATATATAGTGAATATGAGCAAAACACTCAATAAGAGTATATTATTTAAATCTATTCAATCCAGTTCACTGATAATGACCTCATATTTTGTAAGGAAGAAGCTGTGACTAATCCTCAAAACATTATTCTAAACATTAACGCAGATTGTTGGTTTGGAAAAATATTAAAACTTTCAGGGACTAATTAGTGGATGAATATCTACAGTTGATTAACTTCTGTATACACAGCCAACTTCCTTTAGAAGCTAATTTTATAGCTGTTTAGATAACAACTTAAAGAAATCCTTTTTTATAACCTGTTTACTAATTTTATTTCTTTCATAACAGAGTTGGATCCATAAGTTTGTCTCAAATGATTTTATATGCAAAGAACATTTATTTTTATAATACAAGATCAACTTATTGTTCTGTACATGACCTTATTTACACTGAAACACAGAATACTGTCAAGTTTTTCACATTTCAGAGCATTTTAAGCTTATGAAAAAGGAGCATTGCCATGTCTGATTTTGTCACATATTTTCCCAACACTGAACCATAAACGGGTCACATGAAGGATAAACAGCTTATAGACCAACATTAACTGTAAGGAGGACGGTGGAGGTGCTTAAAGTGCAACCAAGAGAACCAGTTAGTGCCGATGAATCGTGATGAGAGTTTTAACGAAGCGTTATAAAAGAAGCGAAGTGTCACTCGAGCTGTGATCCGCGGCTGTTTCATCAGTCCTCGCGTCTTCGTTTGTTCGATTTAAAGTTTCACCCGACAGAAGAGGCGTGTCCACCGCCAGAGATCTCTGCGAGCTGTTAGAAGAGATCACCACCACGTAGCGGTCGCCGTCCCCGTCCTCCTCCTGGCACCCGTGGACGTCGGCAGAAACGACGGCGTGTCCTGCCGCCGGGCGGCCGCAGGACGGCGAGGAGCTGAGCGCCGGCTGCTCCTCGGGAGGCGCCTCCCGATCGCGGTCCTCCTCGGGAAAGCTGGTGTTGATATAAATGATGTCCGCTCTGCTGGAAGACTCGGGGAGCTTTTCTGCGAGCTTTTCCAACCTTTCCCGCAGCTCCAGAAACAAAGGTCTGTCCACTGGGTCGGTTCTCCAGCAGCTGTACATGATCTCATAACTGCAGAGAAAAGAAGTAAATTAAATTATATTTTCTTGCTACGTCAGATCAGTGTGCTGTTTTGTGGGAAATCAAGGCTTCAAAAAGGGCCTGATTCCCAGAAAAACTGTTTTTTAATGAGAGAAGGCGCCATGTGAAAGAGTTTTCTCCAGGATTGGAATCAAAATGAAAACAAAAAAAAAAAGAGCATCATAACTCTGCTAAAAAGATCTTTTTTTAAAATTAAAACAATGTTTGAACCCTTTTTAGTTTCATTCCCAGCATGTAAATAATCATATAGAGATCTAAACCAGTGGTTCCCAAAGTTGGAGTCGGGACCCGTCTGTGGGTCATAAAACATCAAGTGAGGGTCCCCAAATTATTCAAATTTAAATGCAAATAAAATGTTAATTTTCACCAAAATTATATACAAAAACAAGAAACAATAATAATAATGTGATAAAAGTCGTATCATAGTAATTATGTTTGCTTATATAGTTATTATATTGTGTTATTAGCAAAGTGTGCAAACATAAACCAATATATCTGGGGTCACAATTTTCTGCAGCTGTTTTTTTTTTTTTTTCTGGTCCAGAAGCTCAAAAAATTGAAAACCACCAATCTAAACACAGAAAATCACATGATAAAATCAAACACAAAGATCCCCCTCTACCAAAATAAAAAAGAAAACTCACAGTTCATCCAAACACTCCGGAGGCTGCTTCAGTCTGTGACCTTCAACCAGGTGGTCATAAATCTCATGGTTCTGGACTCCGGGGTACGGCGTCATGCCTCGCGTGGCGATCTCCCACATGGTGACACCAAACGCCCACTGTGGAATGTAAAGAATTTATTTCAGATAATGTTTTCTATAAATGTGACCTGTTATTAGGTAAAAAAAAAACTAATTTTCCTTGATAATTACAACAATAATTCGTATTTGTTCTTGAAATCTTCTACTAATGTTGTGAAAAGTCTGACAAATGTGTTTTTTCCAGCTGACAAGGCTAAAATACAAACGTACAAGACCTGAACCGTGTTAAATGATAAGATTTATTCATCATAAATCAGTAAGAGAAACATAAAATACATATAGAATCAGCTCTCTTTCTACTTACAACGTCACTCTTTACAGTAAATATTCGATCAGCTAAACTTTCCACTGCGATCCATTTTACAGGCATTTTAGCGATTCGGCCCTGCCTGTAATAATCTCCACTGTAGATCTTCTTGGACAAGCCGAAGTCTGCGACGCACACCGTCATGTCATCACGCAGCCTGGAAGACAAACCAGGTCAGACCTTAATGACAAACGTTAGGTGTAATGTGTTACTTTACATCCAAACGTCTGCTGCAACAACAGGCAGGGAACTGTGGGACCTACATGCAGTTACGAGCTGCCAGGTCACGATGCAGGAAGTTACGACTGCTGAGATACTCCATCCCCAAAGCGATGTCGATCATGAACCTCAGGAGGGTCTGAGTGGGCAGGAACTGGGTCTAAACAGAAATATATTACTTACTGAGCGCTGAGTCAGCATTCACAATATGGTTTTCCTCTTTCTAGTTTCCTGCGTACATTTTTTTGGGAGAACTCAAACCACTTTTGCCTACTTTTAGCTAATGTTCTGCTACTTTTAGCTTCAGTTTTGGTACTTTTGGCTAATGTTCTGCTACTTTTAGCTTCAGTTTTGGTACTTTCGGCTAATGTTCTGCTACTTTTAGCTTCAGTTTTGGTACTTTTGGCTAATGTTCTGCTACTTTTAGCTTTTAGCTTCAGTTTTGGTACTTTTGGC